TAAGTAGAAGGAAGGCCAATGAACGAGGTATTGCATTGCATCAGATCAAGCAACAAACACACTCTTCTACAGTAGGAGACTTTGACAGACACCCTATTTGGAGACCTTTTTTTTGTTTGGCTCTTCCTGTCGCCAACTGGCATTGTAGAGCATTCCAGGATTTTTCTCTAGGTTAGGTTAGGGTAAATTACGAGGCAGACTTGCACGAGGGACTTTCCCTTGACTTGGGCCCTCAAAATCTTACAGTTCAGAGCTGCAGGTCAGCGGTGCACCGAGATGCGGGTCTCGCTAGTCTTCCGAACCGAGTGCTCGGCATGGAAGTACAAAGACCTGCAAATCAATGGTTCAGACTTGATCTCCTGAATGGCAACTCTCAAACACGAGTTAGAATATGGAAAACAGCTAGGTAACTCGACTTCGTAGGTATGTTCAAAAACCTCTCACTGGAGCTACGAATGCCGAGAAAGTTAGTACAAAGATCTACAACAAAAACACATAGGAGAATTGCGACTCGGTAACTGGTTCCGTGGCTCAGATGGTTAGAGCAATGCTACGGTGCAGCATGGACGTGGGTTCAAGTCCCACCGGGTCGATTAAAAATGTTTTCTGTGTTCGATCTTTGTATTCATTATCAAAATCATATTTTATTTTTGGCCACTTTGGTGGCCAAAAATAAAATATGAACTTCAACCGAGAAGTTTTAGTTTTATAAATTTTATTTGAGTTGTATTGAATGATTTATAAAACACTGTTTATTTAAACAAGCAAAGAAGTTCCCGAAATATTTCAAGTTTATGTTGGTGACCCAAATTCATTGCTATCAAGTGTATTTTTGCTGAAGCATTATAAATACCAAAGAAATCCTTTTTTGAAAATTGTAATATTTACATATTCGAGGTTTCATAGTAAGTAATACTCTCAAGAATACGAGATTGTATGCAACACACTATATTAGGAGTAAAATAATTCAATTCCTTTGAAGCGTTCTCTCCTCTTTATTGGGTTTTACGTTCGTGGCTGAGCGGCTGAGTCGTCTGCGACGACGGCGGTCCCTCAGTGAGGAACTAGCGGAATCCCGGCGCACTCATTAATTTTCTGTTTGTTCTTATAAAAGCTTTTCCTCGGACGTTTATATAAGTGCTCTAAATCGTGTTATTTTTTCAGTTATACTTATAATGGAATGAACATTCAAAATTTAATTTCGTCTTTTGATCATTTCACCGTTCTCAATCTGTATGTATACATACTACATTTTGTAGAGTGTAAATGTGAATGCTATTGAAATTAATTTCAATATTAGCCGCAACTTTTTCGCCGTAAAAAGTCCTGACGTAGAATATCTTCCATTAATTGTCATTAGAATTCTGAAAGAAAATCTGTTTAACCAAACATTCTCATTGTATTACATGCCTACAGCAACGCAGTAATCAGATGGGATTAAATGCCCTTTGTTCGACCAAAACTGCATTGAAAGCAAAATGAGTATTTTATTATAACAGACAGACCGCAACTCTTATTACACAGACGGATAACATGCAATATTTATTCGAAATTGGAACTGAGAGTGAGTGAGTTTGAACTAGCGAGGAGAGTGCGTGGCAGGGGGAGGGCGCAACGCAAATTAATTTGGTTCAGAAATTTATCATTAAAATTGGAAGGCTACTGGCGACCGCAGCTCGCGAAACGTTTGGCTTAACAACCCATCATGTGATTGAACCGGCACAGTAGCTGCAGGCTAATATTATATTATGTACATGCTATAGCTTCTGGACCAAATAATTGGATATGTGCCTAGTGCCTATGGCTGAGTGTTTATCATTAAATTAGAGGTGTGGGCGAGCGCGAGCACAGGGTGTAGTGCGGCCAGTTTCACTAACAGAGTATTGTCGGACATGCCGTAAGTGGGCCTGTTGTGACCAGATGAGTGGTCGGATTTTAATTAAATCCTCATCGCTGCAAGATAGGCGTTACGGAGCACAAATTTCTCTTTATTTCCATCGTAACCGCTCGCGTTCTGAAAAATTTAAGTTGAGTTTAAAACTCAAAGCGAGCCAACGCACCGCCCATGATAATGGTAATGCTCGCTATGCCAGCGTTTTACTAAAAGGTTCGTGGAATCGGAGATTTTATTATCTTTACTGAAATTTTAATGTTGTGTATTTACGGTAGAGCGGCAAATAAAAGGTTAATAAAGGACGACGGTACACAAAGTGAGTACCGGAGTGTTGTTGACACCATCATTACTCACACGGGAACAGCCCGAGAGCACCGTTCGGCAACACAATAACCGTCGCCAGATCAGTACTTATCGACACGACAAAATGTAACAATGAAGTATCCCGACATAGCGAATAGAAAACCCTGCGAACAATTCGGGGTGTTTGTTAAATGCGGATATAGAATATTAATTTTAGGTAGTACTTCTTAATATTCGACACTTGATGTTGCTACGTAACGGGCAGCAGGGATTTTTTTAACTCAGAATTGTTTTTGAAAAATCTGTTAAATACACACTTAGCTCTTTTATTAAGCGTTAATAAACATACCAAGTTTTAAGTACTTGATAATATTTTCATGTAAAATATATTACGGCTAGTATATTGTTGTTGAACATTAATAATAACAATTGATTTATTTAACAGCTTGCCGACGCTGTGCTCCAATCTAAAACATGGGAGTGTAATGGCGCTAACGACATGCAAATATTAATTATGCATACACCAATCTTTTTCTAATACATTTTTGTACTTTTGATTCAGGAATTCATTAAAAATGAAGAGACAAATTCAGAACAAGTACGAATAAAAGATACAAGCAGAAGTACGTACACACAGATGTGTGTTAATTTAATCAAAAGATCGTTAGCGGGTTACCGCTATTGTAGAGTATAAGTGAAATTTCTTCATTGGATTACGTGGAGCATATAGTGCGAAGTGAAATAAGTATTTGTACGGGGGCAGGGAGGTTGTGGAGCACGGGTGTTGGAGAAGGGATGGGGATAGAGAATCAAGGGCGCGCTGCGGGGTATGTGGGGAGAGTGCGGGTTTAGCTGGGTCGCGCGGATGCTGCGCGGGGCGCGGTTCGCGGGGCGCGCAGATCAATATCTCGCGTTGCCTGGGCGACGCCGAGCCAGACCGAGTGCCTCCCGTACTACGTGCCTCCCTGTATCCCCCTCGCGCCCACTACTCGCTTTATTTAATATCATACCGTATTTAGGATGCGAGCTTTTTTGTGCTAAATGTAATATAAAGATGCGCCAAGTCACCAAGGGTTGGGTCCGACTACCAAATCACAAGGGTCGCTGCCACCGCAGCCGAAATCGCCACGTAACGATGACATTGACCTCGGTTCCAGACGAGACGAAATCATCCATTTCCATCTCGTCGTTTATCGCGAGTATTTTGTCACGTCAGAAGGCGCTGGGCTATATTAGATATGTATATGTAACTGCAGTGACAGGGTTAAAAACGATAAGAAAATAACACAACAAACAAACAAAGGACACTCAATGTTCGCGGCAGTGATAACAAATAGGGTGGAGAGCTCTCGTAGCAAACGGGGCATTGTCTCAAGAGGACTTAATCCATCGACTGTTGAATTAATTCGTCCTATTGTTGTGCATCTCTGTAGCAAATCAGCCTCGAGCTCATCGTCTAGTATTTAATATCAAAAGTACAGTGAAATAAATTATACTAAAAAATATTTAGACATGCCACTAAAATGGTGATATAAAATTCAAACACCAAAAAATAATACTATTAATATTTATTTAGGTATTTAGAGAACAATAAAACTTAATATTGAAAACGTGAACGTAAATTAATTGAAATATGACTAAAATACAGATAAATAATATTTAGGGAAGAAATTCACATCCGTGATTAAATTGATTTTTAGAAAAAATCATTTTCCGAAACATCATTATTTATACATACATTTCATTCAAAGACGAATTAATACAAATTGATTAGACAAATAATAAATTATCATCCTTGATTGAGGGAATAAATATTTAAGGACATAAAGGAAGCAGTATCATTTCTCATACAAAAATCGTATTGCTTGGTAGGATGCGGAATTCGTATATTGTTATAATTTTGGTAAAGCTAAGGCCTAGTACAACCAAAATCTGTAGGTGAGAGGTAAAGAGCCTTAAGTGCCAAATGGTATATATAGTTTTATTACTACAGAGCGTTTTAAAGACAATGAAGCTGTTACCTAGGCATTTAAAATCAATGTTAAGGTCAAAGAAAATCCATACTAATATTATAAAATGCGAAAGTAACTTTGTCAGTTACGTTTTCACACCAAAAACCTAGAAGTACCTAGAAGGACACATGCTATTTTTGTCATAAAATAAATCTTAAAGAGGGTGAAACAGGGGATAAAAGTGTATACGGAGAACTAGTTGTTATTGGTCCTCCATAAAAACTATGAAAATTAGTAGAGTACTAATTTTACGCAGAAGAAGTCGGGTACACGACCTAGGATGTTAAATAAAAAACAAACGACGATGTGACATAATCTTTTTTAAGTTTATTGAATGTCACGATGTTAAGTACCATAATTTTTTAATTAATTTTTGATTACTCCACTACAGTTTGTTATAATTATTATAAAATAAATAAATATGGAAACACTAAGAAAAATTCATGCGATCCGGCTGGATCCGACCCCGCACCCTCAGGCACAATGTTTTTTTTTTATAATACATGTGACGGGACGAACAAGTCGTGTGCCTGGTGGTAAGCGACACGCCTCTCCATAACAGTCGCAGTGCCACTCCGAGCTTCAAATCGCAAAGATTTTAGGAGCACTGCCACTGCGCACGTCACCCTGTAAGTTGACAAGTCTCATGTGCCTGTAATTTCAGCATCATGTCGATGTCGCTTACCATTGTGTGATTTTTAGCATTCTAAAGTAATATTTGTAAAAACATTAAATTCCAAATTATGGACTTAAGGTTTTTTTTATTAACTTCTCACCTACAGAAATATGGGTTAGTTGCATCGGATATCTATACGTTTTCATCGTATTTATGTCGGAATTTATTTTCTTGTTACATAGATAATAAGTACTTTATATCTGATAATGAAGTGTGAAAGATATTTTAGAAAGGCAGTTGTGTTAGCAAAGCCACTCCCCGCATGATCCAATGGTCCGGGTCTTCCTTGGTGGGAAGCCTCATGAAAAGAATATAGTTAGTAGAGTGACCAGTAGTGGATAGCACTCCGCGTCTGTCACCTGTCTTGTACAGTGGACAATTATAGAATATGTCTGTAGGTATGTCTTCTCTTTTCAACGGAATCAACCACACCTGTAAAAGTTACAGGTTAACGGTTTGTTATCTACTCCTATACTCTAACCAAATTCGATGTAGATGTAAATGTCAACAAAGAAAAACATATGATTTTTAGGGTTTTCACCTCAGACTGTTTCACAGTTAATATAATTTCAATATTCTTAACCCGAAATTCGATTAGGCCGTGATAATACTGATATCGAAGCCATGTTTATAATGGATTAGGTTTAATAAAAGCTTCAAATCACTATTAAGTGTTTCTAAGTCAACGTAGTAATTGCCAATAATTAATTATTTATAAAACTGTGTCATCCCTAATGTTTTCTTTTATTTGAAGGCAGAGTTTGCAAACATTTACGTACTTTTATAATACGCCAAAACCCATAAAGTAAAATTAATGGAAACAATTAGCTGTTTTAGCCATATTATTGACCTATATTTAACGTTCTATGAAATACAGAATGTTAGTTTATATATTTTCACCAAAAGTAAGAAATCAGTTTCAGATTAACGAAACGTGATTAAAAAACATCAAAACAATTATTATGAAAACTTTATAATAAGTGGCTAGGCAAGTATTACTGCTACATAATCCAATTACTTACATTACATCTATTTAAATTGCAATTAAGCGAGCAGGCCGTGGGCAGAGCTTGCCTAATTAATGATCATTGACAAAAAAATGTTCTTTACACCTGTCATCATTGGTTGTCTAGCATTATTAAGTATTCCATATCGAATTTCGCTATACATTTTTTTTATAGTCAAACACTTCAAAGTACATAGATATAACGATATCATATTTTTATCTATATATTATAGCCAACGGGCCCTAAAATAAAGATAAAAATATGAAATTTTATCATTTCATAAGAAATGAAACAAAAAAGAAATGTCGTTCGGTAAGGAAGACAATAAATTGTCATCTGATGCAATAATTTATTACAACTTTGAACACATGTTAGGTCAACATTACTTACAATGGGGAACGTGTCGTATAAAACTTTGGGGATGGACTCGTCGATATAGTATTTTTCCATGTTCCATCGGGCGCCCTCCAAAAACAACCCGTTAATATAGACTCCTTCGTCGGGACGCTCTTCAAAGTCTGGTTCACGTTTCACCTACATTACATGATTTAGATGTTTTAAATAGCAGAGCCATTTCTATAAAAAACGATTTTTTAGAAAGATTCTTACCTCAAAGTGGAATGCGAGCTGATCAATGGGTATCTTATACTTTCGAGCGTAACTCTGTTGCGCAGCCGTCAAGAAAGCCTGTGGGAAGTAGAATCCTGACAGCCAAAATACTATGGGTGGACCTCCTGCATGCCACGTCTGTTAGGAGAATAAACCACTTTAAGTCTTGTCTAATTGTATTATGTGAAAAACAGATAAATCATAAAATGTGTGTGTACTGTATTATAATTTATTAACAAAATAAACAATTTGTCTTTCTATGTTTTCTTTATTTCTTTACTCTCGCTAATACATCTACAAATTATAGTACTCAACGTTTTATTTTATTGTTTTAATATACATGGTGATAATTTGAGGCGAATCAGCAAGCCCAGCTACTATAATCATTATAGCAACAGGAAAACGGACCACGGACAGAAGGCTGTCCATGTGTTTTATAGGTATTTCGGTTGGCATTCACAGATTTTAACGACTTTGTTTTCACGCCATTCGATCATGGTTCTCGTAAAAAACACAATTCTCTATCGAATCGCTTGAAATAAATATTGAAATATGTTCTAGAATTATCCATTGTTTACAAGGAATTTAAAAAAAAATGGCATAATTTAAAATTCGTCGGCATGAAAAAAGTTAAATGAAAATTAGCTTTTATCCTGCTAACTGTCCCATTTATTCAAAATCTGTGAATGCCAATCGAAATAGTTCAAGTTTTCATGCTGTATAAGTAAATGACAATGATTACATCAACAAGACGCCCCTTTCTCGCAGATACACACGCTAAATCGAGTAGCTAAAGTAGCAGACATTTTTACTTGTATTGAGTGTGAATTCCTACATGTAACACTTTCTGTAGTACGTATCTCACGAATTATTAATATTGTTTGTTATTATTATTGAATAGAACAGCCGTTTATTAATTATTATTCATCGGTATTATTATTATTTAATATAAGTAAATATTACAATCCTGCAAAATAGCCTTATGCACAAAATAAATAAATAAATAAATAGTTCTTAATCTATCGAGTTCTTACATTTTCGCGATTGTTACACATAGGAAATGAAACTATTTTTCCGGATTTAAATCGCGTATATTTGTTTTTTTCAAACAAACCGACGTTTCGGGCCCTTTACAGGTCCCATGGTCACGGTTGACTACATGGGACCTGTAAAGGGACCGAAACGTCGGTTTGTTCGAAAAAACAAATATACGCGATTTAAATCCGGAAAAATAATCTGTTAGACAAATTAACGAGTTTACGTACTTGTAAAAACAACAGTCTCGCCAAGAGGTCATTGTAATAGGCAGCTAGCGGTTTCAATGACGGATAACTTTTGCCCGCCCATAAAGCTGGAATACGCCCTCGCACCATACTGTTTAAAACTTCTTCCGTTACGTCCGTCAATACACTGACACCTGATCAAATTACAATTAATTTCTATTTTAAAATATGTTATGTGTAAAAATTTGCGGTAGGCTAATGGTTTGACCTAATCAAGCCGTACACGATACTAATCGTTACATAACTTATAGACGTTGTAACATGGTTCAGATATACAGGGTTATTTTTTAAATATTAAGAATTTCGCAACACTTGCCTTTGTTCAAACATCATGTATTGCAATCGTTATCAGGTAATTTAAATGTAATATAATATAAAATAATATGTTTTAATATTTATTAAGCAAATGCCTATTGATGGTGTAAAATCATATTATAACTCGCAAACAATAATTAAATTTCATTTATAGTCGAATTAATCCAATTCTAATTATTTCAAATTCAAATTGTTTATTTATCTAATGTGACAAATAATTTACGAATGCTGTGTGAAATATTAATGGGATGTGTATTAGAAATTAAAATGATTATTTAAGTGTTTTGGGAATGTGTAATACGCATTCTGTGGATGTACCATAATAAATAAATACTGTATTACTAACATAATAAACAACAAGTTTTGTTCCGTGATTTTTGACAAACCATGACAAATATCCAATAAATAGACTTTCAAGTTTTTTTGTACTATGTGACACTTTTTAGATCGGTACTTGGTAGTAAGTTCAAATGTGCAAGCGTCATCTCCGAATATTTGGGTTGTGCACAGAGGAAGTTTAAGCCCCGTATTAGGAAAACCGTGTATCGCGGGTGGCATGGACACACATAGACAACCACAAATTACACCCAAACTCATGAGAGAAATAAATGTAGGCCATACAAATATTTCACCCGGCCCGGGAATCGAACCCGGTATCTGTGTGCTATGCGTGTGTAAAATCCTTAAAGTAGTGAGCAAATAATCAAAGTTAAATTTAAAAATGTGCTATTAAATGATATTACATGAAATTAAGTTGAAATGTAATCTCAAGGAGAAACATTTCTCACTTGTACCTTCTTAGTTATAGTTATATATTAAGAATTGATAATATTTGTGTAAAAGCGTGCTCGCCAACAAACTGTTTCCAGTTTGGCGGAGCTAAATAACGGTTATATGATGATTTTTATGAATAAATTATGCGTATGCAAACGCCTGGTTCCGCTACGGAATTATTCTGTGGGGACACACTTATGAGGCGCAAAAGATATTCATTCTACAGAAAAAGTGCCTCAGGATGATCCTAAACCTACGCCCTAGAGATAGCTGCAAATCTTTTTTATAAACATCAGATACTTACCCTTCTATGTTATATATACTCGAAATAGCGACATTTGTTAGAAAAAATATAAACCTCTTTGAACATGTCAGAAGTGAACGTAGACAACGTAAGCTGGTACCTCAATCGCCTAAACATACAATTTTCAAAAATAGCCCTTATTACAGAGCAATACATAACATGGTACCTAGTAATATATTACTTCAGAAGGACGAAAAACTGTTTTACAACAAATGGGAAAACCTCCTCATACAAAAGTGTTATTATGCAATACAAGATTTTTTGATCAATTTGACGAATTATGCAAAGTCATGGAATAAAAGTTGTTGTTTATGACGATAGTAATATGGTCCTGCTACGTTGTTAGTATTGTACAAATAACCATTTATAATATATGAATAATATAATATTATAGAGCACAGGGTTTAAGTTTTCTTAACAGAATGATAATGTACCAGACGACCAATTACCCGATCTCAAACAAACGAATTCCCTGTACTGTGAAGTTCATTTTTATTTTATAATATCAAGTGACAGGACTTACAGGTCGTACGCCTGATGGTAAGCTACACGCCTGTCCATAACAGTTGCAATGCCACTCAGAGCTTTAAGTCGCAAAGATGAGGGGCACTGCTAATGCGCTAGTCACCCTGAGACGTAAGTTGACTGAGTTGATGTGAGTGTTCCGGATAGTTAATTGTTAATCTGGTAGTAGCAGTAGAGCGCCTTGTGAAAGAGTTCGTCCAGGGAAGTACTGGCACCTTTCCTATTTGTGCCGCCAAGCAGAAATGTGAGCATTACTGCGTTCCGGTTTTGAAAAGTTTGCGAATTTTTTTTACGATAACAAGGGACTATTAAGTTTTGCGCCCACTGGTAAGTATTATGTCTGACTTTAAATAGCTAAGATCTGAGGGGCATTGCCACTGCGCCCGTCACCCTGACACATAACGACTCATCCGAAGAACACAGTCCGATGTGATTATACAGCGAAAAGAGGATAAATACTTACTCATTATTCAGACTAAAGCTAATCTACAGGTATTTTCAAAATTTTTATATGATATTACGTTGCAGAAATATAAAATCGAACAACGGTCGATCTGATGTCCAGAGCGAAGAACAACGAAATAAATGTACAGTCTCCTGAGAATAAGCAGTCTTGCACATGGGTCTTTGTTTTATGAATGAGTCGATAAGCTAACAAGTCCCATGTGCTTGTTAATTCACCTGCACTGAATGGTCACATTACTATTTGGCAGCAGAAATAGTAAGGTAGCAGTAGTACCCTGGACGAACTTATTCACAAAGAGCTCTACTGCTTCTAACTTACATTAAAATCTCAGGCATATGGGACTTGTCAACTTATATCTCAGGGTGACGGACGCAGTGGCAGTGCACCTCAAATCTGTGCCATTTAAAACACTGCAACTGCTATGGAATAGGTGTGTTTACCTTATTATTACCTTACCACCACGACTTGTTTTGTCCAATTGCTTGATATAAAGAGTGTGCGATGGAATTACGCCATTTAATTCCGCCTTCCCCTTTCCTTCATCAGGCGACTAGGCGTAGACTTGGATTCCAGCTCTAGGTTGTGGATATTCCAAAAATTCGCACGAAGCGTTAAGCTTCCACATTTATATGGCGAACGGCTACGAGTGGTGGAATTCCCTGCCTGCAGACTTGTTTCCTGAACGTAATAACTAGGACTTTTTCAAGGCGAGAGTGAATAGGCATTATTTGGGTGTGCATGCTCCATCGTCGACCTCATCATCACTTTCCATCAGGTGAGATGGAGGTTAAATGCACACTTACATTTTAATAAAAAAAAGAAAAAGATACTTGTACAAACTGCAATGAAGACGACTTAGAACCCACCTTGCACTGCTCCAATGACAGCTCTAGAACTTGACCTAATGACTGTCACAAGCTTTTCGTATCTCGCTGCCTCCTGAATGACAACGATGGACATTGGCGTCATATCCGCCGGCTTAATGTCGCCTTCATGTGAAGGTCCCGACAGGATCTTTGCAGGAAGTCGCTTAAGAATGTCTTCGGCAATCATCATCGCTTGTTCCTCCGGCGTAGCTCCAACTCCTCCAGAGGCCATCATATCCTATTTAATCAATTCGAGAATTAACTAAAATCCGTATATAGGTAGGTACCTAGTACAACAATAATAAATTAAGCATTGTTTTTGCTGTTATTTCAATTTGAAAGCACACAATAAAGGAAAATGCAAGCCAACTACACAAAGTAGACAGGACGTCATAAAAATAATTAAATAGTGCAATGCTAATTTCATCAATTCGCACCCTAGATGTAATAAGGCCACATCTGTGGTACCGTCGTTGTTTCTGATTTCCATAACACAAGTACTTTAATTACTTACTTTGGGATCAGAGCAACGTATGTGATGTTGTTTAATATTTCCATTTATTTATTATTTTGCTGCAAAATAATAACATTTCAAAATAAACGTTTAAACAGGAAACTATTTTTTTCGGAACTAAATCGGGCATATTTGTTTTGTCAAACAAACCAACGTTTCGGGTTCGAATAATAATCGCGAATTAGAAATATATGTGTAACAATCGCGAAAATCTAAGAACTCGATAAGAGAAATTTTACGGATTGAATTAGTTGATAACTTTTTATTCTCCAATAAGTGAGTTATAATAATATACTTCTCTAGTTAGTTGCATTAATTCGTTTTATTTTTAGCATTTTGATATGATAACAACACATTTGACGTAATCACATGTGGTTTTATTATACCAAGAGTACGAATTAGGATATACAGGAAAACTGACATCTTGCTTCACTGTTATCTTACCAAATATTTTTTGAGGAGGTCCTGTAGGCATGAAAAAAATTGATTTCAAAATGTCAGTATTGAAAAGATATTAAAATCATATTTAATTTAATACCACCACCAACTTACCGTCCGATCCTTGTGGTCCCCCCAAAAGGTAGCATGAAACGTAATAAAATGATTTACATGATAAACTGCAAATATCAACAAATGAGAACACTAGATTTTAAATACTGGACTTAATCGTTTTTGAACATATTTCACTCACCTCGACATTTCGGACAAAAGTAAATAATAAAGACCAATTGCGGGTAGTTAAAAAAACTCGCATGGCTAGAAGATTTTGACACGCGCCTCTTCAGTCCCTTCGAGACCATGGACATTGCAACACGTCCGAAACATTAAATCCCGAATTTAAAATCAAACAATGTGTGAAAATAGTAAAAGTTTCAATCAATGTAAAATAAGAACTGTTAAAATCTCAATTACATGAAATCTAGGTGTATGAAGTTAAAAAAACAAAAACAAAATACATGTAATCTATTACAAAAGTACCTACTCTGAACACCAATAACTATTTGTATTGGGATTTAAATCAAAATATTAGTAAATTTTTTATAAAAATATTAGTAATTAAATTTTAACTGATTACCTGTGTCAATATGGCAGTATTAAGTAGCTCTTCCGATTCCCTGAAGTGTTTGGTGATGTCAGCGTTGGGGTGGAAGCCGAAAACGGCTGGCGGAGTCTGCACCGGCAGAGACCGCGCGAAGTTAATAAAGTCAGAGTGCTCTTTTAACGTTGGAATGTGGTATATACCTGTTCATCATAGGAATTAGTCTTGAGTTTTTAATAAATCTTTTAGTAGCTCTTGTGAAAGAGTTCGTCCAGGAAAGTACTGTCATCTTATCTATTTCTGCCGCCAAGCAGAAATGTAAATGGAAATGCGTTCCGATTTTGAAGGGCAACGCTGCTGGTGAAATTACAAGCACATGGTACTTGTCAACTTATGTCTCAGGATGTCGGCCTCAGTGGCAGCACCTCTCAGATCTTTGTGATTTAAGAGTGGTATTGCAACTGTTAGGGACAGGCGTGTCGCTGACTACCAGCACACGACTTGTTCATCCCGTCATTTAGTATTATTTTAAAAAATGTGTATTGAATGTCACGATGTTTTACAACCGTAATAATAAATTATTCTTTTGTGAAATTACTCCACTACTTTGTTATAATTATTAATACAAACAAAAATTCCTTCAACCCGGCTGGTTTCGAACCAGCATCTTAAAGCATACCATGCCAGACGTTCTACCAACTAAGCTACGGAACGAACCACCAGACTTTACAGTTTTTCTATGTGCTTGTTACAGATCTTTGTTTTTCTTTTTAACGACTTTTTTGCTGTAGCTCCAGCTGCGAGAAATTTATTTCTGTTTTATTTTAGTGAAATCTTGCTTTAAATAAAAATTGACTGACCTGTGGGATCTAGCGGGTAATTTTTCTCAGTGAGAGCCTTGGGGTTGTAAAATTTAAAGAGAATGGTATTGAGGCAGCGGCGATCCCAATCGTCAGTGACCCGGCCGCCATAGTTGCATTCGCCCGTTAAATACCGCAGAGCTACAAATTGCACGTCCTAGAAATTAATATAAACCTGACTTCATGTAATTCGAAATCTTTGTATAATAAAGCCACATATGATCATATGATTTTATCACATGAAAGTCGTAAAAATAATATGAACTACATGAAACTATTTTTTTCTCAAACATGCCCGGAAATGTTTACATTTCAAAAAATGAACACGGAAAGTTTGTCATTTATGGACCATGTGACTTCTTCCCGGCCTAGGCCTGCAAAGTAAGTATGAAAATCCTATAGGCTTAACTCACACTGGTGCAGAGTCGAAGCGTCGCGTCGCGTCCTGGTTTTCAACTACAACGTGTGCCGTCGCGCGACGACGCTTGCATTAGCGCGCCCGGATCACAGTGTGGTCTGACACCTCACCGCGCGCAAGGAACGCATGGCGACGCGCGCCGACGCGCAAAGCCGCTCGACTTTAACCAAGCGTCGACGCGCGTTTCCATATTTGCATAACACAAATTTATACCTTAATAATGGGAAAATAGATATGAATATGCTATAGGCGAAAAAAATTACGCGTCGCGACGCTTCGACTATGCGCCAGTGTGAGTTGAGCCTTACTGTCCAATATTAATTAGTATTTTTTTTACTCTTTCCATTATATAACTCCCTCTCTTTGGTCTTTTATTATTTCCTCACATTGTTTGAGAAAAATACTATACAAGCCTCGGCTGGAGCGGGGATTGCTTGACTCGTGTTAATACAAGGCCTTTGTAACGCATACGCGTCCAGCAATCCCTTACTTCCCAGCCTCTGCAACAATGATGTACTATGTGTGTATGTAAAATTTTATAATTCGATATTTCGTACAATCTTTAAACCTCTCTTCTGACAAGTTGTAATTTGGAGATGTGGCCATATTACACCAAGGACGTCAATTGCAAAGTTGTACTTACATTATTTATTTCTTTAAAATAATAATAATAATAGTAACGCACATACTCATAGCCCCGTACTTGGGAAACCCTGTATCGCAGGTACCACGGACACACACATAGACAACTAGAAATTACACCCAAACTCACTAGAGAAATAAATGTAAGCCGTACAAATATTTTTCTTGGCCCAGGAATCGAACCCAGAACCTCTGCGTGTCAATCCAGCTTGGTAACCGTTCGGCCAAGGAGGCAGTTATAACATACTTGTGACATGTCGTCAACATACAAAAAATCAAAATCTTGTCGTTAACCCGTTCATGGAAAGCACTTAAATAGTACCACACAAAATTGTCAGTACTTTTCTTGGCGTAGTGCTTAATTGATTCAATATAAAATTTTCAATGTAGGTAAATCATTGAATTTTGTCAGTACGCTGTTGATACTTCTTTATGAAAAAGTATAGTAGGTGTAAACTACACAGAAAGCTTTGAAATCGCACTGTAAAGCCCGTAGTTGGTTTTTGAGATCCATATAGTGAAACAGGGTACTCCGTACTATCATATTCTGTGTAAGTTTATGACAAACGCCGATACTGTCCATGAACGGATAGACCCTTGTAGTAGCAGTAGAGCTCCTTGTGAAAGAGTTGTCCAAGGAAGTACTGCCATCTTACCTATTTCTGCCGTCAAGGAGTAACGTGAGCATTACTGCGTTCCGGTTTCGAAAGGTGAGGGTGCTGGTGAAAATGGGACTTTTCAACTCGTGTCTCGGGGTGATGGACGCAGAGGCAAAGCACCTCAGATCTTTGCGATTTAAAGCTCTAAGTGGCACTGCAACTGTTATGGAAGTCGTGTCGCTGTCGTTTACCATCAGGCGCACGACTAGTTCATCCCAACAATTAGATATAAAAAAAACCGTCATAGATCATCGGCGTCTCATGCAAATAACAGTAGGGCGTTTATGGGTTGATATAACTCATTCCATTTTTTAGAATTATTAATACAAAGATCGAACACCCAAAAAAAAAAATCCTTCGATCCGGCCGGATTCGAACCGATGTCTTCTAGCATACCGTGCCATTCATTCCATTTTCCCAATAAATGTAATCAAGTAGATACAATGACCACATGAAATAGTCACTCACGTCGTATTCATTCAGAAACATGTAAAGCTGCGTTACACTAATCCGTAAGTCTGTCTCATTGAACTCATATCGTATATTCCATCCGAGCGGACCAAACTGCCGCCGCTCCTGTACCACAGCATGGAAGAAACATAAAGCAAACAACAATTTCTTAAAGTTTTCCGATTGCTTGTTGCCTTCGAACCATTCAGGATCGTTCAACGGATCACTGTTATATGATCGCGCAATGTTTGCTCGCAAACCTGTCAGAGGGAATGATGATAAGTATTAAAGAAAGGTTTCATACATCACAAAGAAAGAAACATAAAGAAAAAATAGGAGTTATTAGGTTTTCGAGATTGTAACACATTAGAAATGAAAGTATCTTTTCGGATCTAAATCTCGTACATAGGGTGTAATGGTTAAGTGTAGTTGGGTAATGTATTTTCGATATCAGTTTAAAGGTTTGTCATATCTCGTTTATTTGCGAATAATTGCCTCACACACCGATTACATCCTGTGTATCTTTTTTTCAAACAAACCAACGTTTCGGGCCATTTACAGGTCCCGTGGTCAGCTGACTAATCCGACTTGAAAAACAGTTTAACTCTCAAATGTCTCAATTAACTTCTATATATTTATTCTCAAGTCTTACCTTGCGGTGGTTCATTTGTCATCTTTACTCCATTCTGTAGTACGTACACTGGGAAGTGCTCAGCTGGGTACGATGTCAACCAAAGCCTGAAGTCTGGATGAGTAGAATCAGGCAACAGGCCTTCACAAATCTAAAAAAAAAAATTAAAATGTGGTAGAAAATATGCAACTTTACATTTTCATTTACTTTTATGTTGTACGAAACTTGTCGTCCTAATTAATATGTGACAGATGTGCCAGACAACCACATCAATCGCCTGGTCTCAAACTAGGGAATCGCCTGTAGTATGAGTATCAGAGCAACTGATTCTAGAGCACTTCCTAAAATCTGAATGTTCCGAACCAGTAGTTAGTAGCAGTAGAGCTCCTTGTAAAAGAGTTCGTCTAGGGAAGTACTGCCACCTTACCTATTTCTGCCGCCAAGCAGTAATGTGAGCATAACTGCGTTCCGGTTCAGAAGGGTAAGAGTGCTTGTGAAACTACAGATACATGGGACTTCAGGTGACGGGCGCAGTGGCAGTGCCCATAAGATGTTTGCGATTTAAAGCTCTGAATGGCATTACAACTGCCATGGAGAGGTGTGTCGCTTACCACCAAGCGCACGACTTGTTCGTCCTGTCACTTTATATTATTACAAAACAACATTTAGAAAAGATCATTTCCCAAATTGTTCCTACCGAGAATCGAACACGGGAACTCCGCATCCAGCGCCCATAATGTAAACTGTTAGGCCTCAGATGTCGTCAAATATGAAAACTACAAAAACGTTTACCAATAATACGCGTTTTCAGCTCATTGTTTCTTTGAAGGGTAACACAAAACATTTTAAAATATTAATTAATGCAGCTTTTGCCGCTCTGTTTTATATATGAAAAATCCTGTACCTTTTCAAGCATAGGCATCCAACTTTTGGCCAAGTGGCAATTTTGCAGAACTACCCAAGTGCCACTGCGGATGCCTTCATCGATTAGTTTCACCGCTATTGGACCTTGGCCTTGACCCAAAGATAATGAGAATAATCGTGACGAGCCGAAACCCTGGGTAAATGACAGTACTTATTAATTAAATAATAGAGACACCTCTATGGGATTAGATTTGCATGTAACGGTTAATTGACATCAGCTGCTTGTTGAAGTACAACTATAAATTGACAATTTTTGTTACAATTGTTTATCTACAGTTACTTCAATAAAACGATATCATGATATCACCTTTGGTGTAATAAGGTCACATCTGCAAAATGATAACATTTCAGCAGGATTCTACGAACGAAACTAGTCTATTACTTTTTTATTCTTAAATAGGAGTTATAAAATTTGTTTCATGTAGTTTGTATTATTTTTATGACACGAGTAGGTACTGCTGACGTTTGATCACATGTGTCTTTATTATACCAAGGGATCGATAACGCCACAATAAACGAGGCTGTCAGCGCAATAGTGGTGTAACCCAAATTCTATTTTTTTTCTAATTATTAATACAAAGATCGAACACTTAGAAAAAATCCTTTGTTCCAACCTGATTCGAATTGACGTCTTCTAGCAAACCGTACCAGACGTTATGCCAACTAAGCTACGGAATGAACTTCGTATTTGGTTTTTCAACGAGTTTTTAGCCGTAGCGCCATCTATGAGAAAACTATGAAAGTATTTCGTCACCCAGTTAGGTATCTTCACAGCAACCAACCCTGGCTAGAGATGTCGCTATGAACTGTAATTAAATTTGTATTGAATTGGTATTCAATTATTTTTTATGAAATTACTTGACTACTTTGTTATAATTACTAATACAAACATCGAACACTTAGAAAAAATTCCTTCGATCCGGCCTGATTCGAACCGAACACCTTATGTATTACCTAAGCAATGTTTTTCTACAATATTACTTTAAATGATACTAAAGTACATAATTATTTTCTATTTGGACGCTATTTTCATGTATAAAAGAATTGTATGTGGGGTTACACCACTATTAAGGTGATAAGTTCTGTGTCATAATGTAAGTGTGCGTAAATAAATGAGGCTGTCAGCGCGATGGAGGTGTAACCCCACATTCGTTTTAAATTTAAAAACTTAAACTTTTGTAGAAAAATACCGAATGTGAGTTACACCACTATTGCGCTGATAGCCTCAAATAATATACAACGTAACGAACGATGATGTTGTTATAATCAATTGGCAAAACGGAAATGCCAAAATGTTGCTAGTGTAGCAGGGCTTTTATTTGTACCTGATCATCAGCAAATTTAAGCAATGTTCCCATAGGATCAGAGCCTGGAGTCAACACAAAGAGCAGGGGAATGCAACAATTGGATTCCGAGTACGACGAAGCCAAATCAAACAACGGAGGTTCAGTGAATTTACGGCCCAACATCGCTGTAAAGTAAGTAAATATAGTGTAAAGATGCATTGAACGGCTACGATCAGCATTTTATATATATAAGTAAGGACAATTATACCCGGACGTAATTCAATTTCTATTAAATATAAAGCTGGTTCATATTCATCGATGAAAGTATTTCGTCACCAAGTTAGGCACATAGATGTTAATTGAAAAAAAAAACAAATCTAAAAGGAATATTGAACAGCATGAAGCAGTACCAGTTTTAAATTACTATACTATAATTTATTGTGTAACCCTTACTTAAAAAGCAAACGTTAACATTTATTTACTGAACATACCTTCAATGAAGTTCTGGACAGCCGGGACCATCATGTCCAATCGCATACAGCGTAGCACACATAATTTCTAGAAGACAAAGAGATTAAAACTTCATCGTCACGATTTAAAAAAAATGACAACTTTGCTAAACTGGCTGACTACTTGTGGTTTCAACGTCTATGCTTAATTGATCGTCACCAGAACTATTGTGCTAGTTACTCATCATAAAGCTTTCTTTACATTATGGATATCTCTATGTCGGGGAAAGTACACAACATCATATACCTTACTACTTACTATGAACTTTTATTACGATTCAGTTTAGCATACAAAATGAATCCTTGTGAGACAGCGCCACGTGAAGTGTATATCACCATCACGCTGTTTTGTCGTTACGAATCTATACTAAACTGTGATAAGAGTTCATAGTAAGGCCTCTAAAATCAAACCAACAAGCCACGACCTTCATCGAATAAAAATTTGATAACTTCCATGCTTATAGGTAATAAAATTATTTTTTCGGATCTAAATCGTGTATATTTGCTTTTAAAAACAAATCGAAATTTCGCTTTTTACAAGTTTCAGGAATCAGCCGTGACTATGGGACCTGTAGAGTCCGAAACGTTGGTTTGTTGGCAATAACTTTTTCATTAAAAATAGCATCCTCAAATGTTTTTGGAATTATATCTATTTGCCAAGTTTTATTGAAATCGGTCGCAAAGTGGGTGAGGGTTTCAACCATAAACCGGATTCATTCCCGTATTTGCCACCCTATTGAGGGGGTACCCCCTTTCTAACAAAAAAGAGTTATCACAAATGGAATAATTGCGTTGTTGAATTGAGAATCTTCTCCATTTTTTGAAGTCCGTTAAAAACAAATACACTCGATTGAGATCCATAAAAAACTTAAGAACTCAAATAGTACTTATTTTTAGTGCAAGCGTTATACCTCAAGCAATGGCAGATTATCCCATTGACCCGGAAGAGGTTCGGTTTGTGGGGAAACGGAGTCACAGTATGCTTCCCATTGTGGTGTATTGGCTGTGAAATGATCTAATATGCCTTGGAACACAGGAATCTCGTTTAATCTGTGTTAAAAAAAGTAAAACTTATACGTAATAATATAAACAACAAGAAAACGTATTCCATCAACCACACAATATTAGTATAACCAGCGCTACATAACGAAAACACAATTAAAAATATTAATTATAATAAGCAGGATGACGTATTTAAGCTATCGAATTCACCAGACTGGGATGCCATCGCAGAAGTTATTATTCCGCGTGACCAAGCGGTGAGGTGTTCTTAACGTGACTATTATTTTTTCATCGGGACGTCTTTATATTTTTTATTGTTTTAAAAATAAAACACATGTTTATGACAATTACAAAATATTTAAATGATTAAAAAAATTAATAAAGAACCAAAAAGTTTAATGATCAAAAATGTATAACTGGTGAGCTATATATTTTCATAAAATAAATTTTTCGCTTTCACGTCATTTAAAAAAAAATATAGTCTCGCGTGTCCTGTTTTTTTAAAGCGGGATATTTTTAAGTATTTTTGGGAGACCGAGACACGAACATTAAAACTGGGACTATCGCGCTCATAGCGGGACGTGCGGTCACGTGTACCACACGACGCTCTTACACGTTAACATTAGGGTAGCCTGATCTAAGATAACGCATCCGATAAGAGTATGCAATGTAGATTGCCGAGAAGTTATTTACAATACGGCAACTAAGTTCAGTGTCATTTTGTTGTGCTAGGAAGTGGAGACTGTTGTACGCAAAAAATATTGAATACCAAGAAACTACCTAAGTCTGAACATTTTGATGTATTTGCATAAAACTTTTTGATATTTTCAAACAGTTACTGACACTAAACTAAGCATATTTTTTTAAAACCACTTTGTATGAAATCGCCCAAAAACTCGTCCAAAGGTCAAACTGCAAACGATTCTGGTCACTTGCAACATATGGGGTTAGTAGCAGTATTATTCTGAAATGGCAGAAATGTACTCTTGCACATTCGACAGAGCGTAACTCGACGTGATGCAAGAGTACGCGCGTAGTCTCATACCATTTTTTTAGAATAGCGTACTTCTGAATAAAATTTCTGTCGCTATGCCTCGTTCTAAATTAACTGAAACCTCATGCGAGAGTCTATTAAAGGTTTAACAGACCTGAGGCATATGCTCCGAATGTGTCTGAAATATCGGCTGCAAGTGCGCCTGAAGCATCACCACCGATGTAATTGAGGTATGTTTGTGCCACAAGTAGACTCTTCTCAGCTCTCCATGAGCAAAGGCCTATGCATACCGAGACAAAAATCACATCACCAGAAAGATATGGAGGTGTTTCGTGCAACCGATAAACGAAGTTCTATCAAAAAAGGTGTTGCGTACTCTTGCCCATAGTACAGTGTAAGAGTACGCAAATCTCATTTTGCACTTTTTTATCAATTACAACCACACTATCATACACACATCAAAAAAAGTTTGCGATCAATAGCATAAGCTCCTATAATTCTTTAAATTTAACTTTATCAAGAAAAAATCTATGTTGTATGCTTTCTTTAAATAGGAATACCCTGTTTGAAATTAAAATATAAAACTATTTTTTATTATTTATTTTAAAAAATTGAGCCAATAATCATAATGTAATAGTGATAGAAATTTCATAGAAAGAAAAAGACTGTTTAATTAAACTTAAACAACAATTTATTATTAAAAGGTGTGAATTCAATATAAAATAACTCCTCCCCTGGCTCGAATACATGCGAAGATCCTCCTGGGCATGCTGAGGATCAAGTTATCCAGCATTTCCTGGGGTAACCTATCCCATTCTTCAATAGCGGCTTCCCTGAGCTCTGGAACTGTCTGGGGACGTGGCTCACGGTTCCATACTGCTCGTTTAAGAGCATCCCACGCGTGCTCTATTGGGTTTAAGTCGGGCGAGCCGGCAGGCCAGTCTAATCGTGTGATATCGTATTCTTGAAGAGCAGCATTGACTCGTTGAGCTCGATGTGCGGGCGCATTATCATCGGCCAGTACAAATTGGTGCCCATGGTTTACTCGGAATGGTCTGACGATATCATCAATAGCAACTGCTTTGTACATGTCTGCTGTCATGAAGCCCCGATACGGGATCAAAGGCGTTCTAGCTCCAATCATAATGCCACCCCAAAAGGACACCGATTTTCCGCCTTGCTGAACTGTTCCAGTGGCAGTTCTTTGTCTTTCACGGTCGCCTGGTCTTCTCCAGACACGGACACGTCGGTTATCTGGATGAGTGCTGATTCGGGATTCGTCAACGAAGAGACAGTTTTGCCAAATGTTTTCGTCCTCACCTTCTTCATTTTGCCGAAGTCTAGCCCACTGCAATCTTCGTTGTTGACGTTGCCGGGAATTGAGCGGAGCTCGCCAAGAACTCCGTGCTCGTAATCCAGCCTGGTGCAAGCAATTGCGAACGGTCTGCGTGCAAACTTCAAGCCCAGAGGCGGCCCTGACTTCTGCTTTTATTTTAGTGGCGTTGATTGTTGGATCACGGGCTGCCAGCAATCTAATATAGCGCTTTTGGGCAGCTGTCAAAACAGTTGGGCGACCGCTGCGGGGTCGGTCAGCTAAATTCCCCATTCCGTGATACCTCTGCAACGTAGCCACGACACAGGATTGGGATATAGCAAGCCTGCGTGCTATTACTCTCGTGGTGTATCCTTCTTCCCTCAAAGTTACTATTCTAGCTCGTAAAACCTCTGATAATCCTCTTGGCATTTTTTCAATCACAACTTTCCGCGAAAAATATCTTGAATCGCTTATAATTGACTAAATCAGATTTCTGAATGAGCGTAAGCTAGGACTGAAAGCCTTTTTATATGAAAAAACAATTGAACGGGGTCATTGTTTTATGTTCTAATTTATTTTTAAATAAAGAATCTAAAAAGAAGAAAAAATCATAATATAATCTACAGTAACAAAAAAGATTTCAGTTTTTCGAAGTGATCGCAAACTTTTTTTGATGTGTGTATATAACCACTTTTCACGTTAGTATGTACCTAAGAGTCAGATAAGTAGACTATAAAACAAAATAATAGCTGATTTTCTAACACTTTTTGTTTTCATTCTACACGGACTCAAACCTTAAGTGCGTCGCCTTAAACTAGGCTACCCTAATTATATCGAGAAGCGAATTACAATGAAATGTGTAGGACCTTACGGCATAAAATTTCCCCTGCGTAGGATATTAAAAACTCACAACTATCAGGAACGTTTTATTCCAATTGTACAAGTTTTCCTAAAATTAGTTTAAATTTCCCATGTAGACATCGTTCTTTCTATCACTCCGAGCAGATCACCGCTATGGTGAATACGAGTAGAACTTATAAATTGCAT